CCCCCCCCAATCACTTTGGTGACGTCATATGAAACCCAAGAAGACGAGATGCCAAAAATATCCTAATATTTACCCGTATACCTTACTATGGCATCACTTGCCTTAGTTGCCTATATATATGCATGAACTTCCGGTTAGAGCTCGAAAACTGGCCTCTGTAGCTCTGTACCCAAGAAGACGAGATGCCAAAAATATCCTAATATTTACCCGTATACCTTACTATGGCATCACTTGCCTATTATATGCATCAACTTCCGGTTAGAGCTCGAAAACTGGCCTCTGTAGCTCTTGTACCCAAGAAGACGAGATGCCAAAAACATCCTAATATTTACCCGTATACCTTACTATGGCATCACTTGCCTGTTGGTTAGAGCGCTGCACCGGAATCGCAGGGCCGCAAGTTTGATTCTTGCAGGGGGCCAATAGTTGCGTTTTCGCAGTTGCTCGTCTAAAAATAAATGCATAAAATGTACATTCGAAATGTTCATCTATACAAAACCCTTCAGCATGTAGTTTTTTTTTTTTTCACGCCATTTTCTCTTTCATTTAATCTAGACCTAGCGGCTGTGGCTCGTGCCCGTCCGTACTTAAGACGCTTTTCAGTACAAGATCCAAAACTTCAACAATTTCAAACCAGAAACATCAGTAATTTCCGAAGAACTGCATCTCTACCTAGCCGCTCAAAAAGACCTGTGTTACGAACGAGAAGCGACGCGCAGTTTAGGGCACCAGATACACCTTGTAATATGTCTAGAGGGAAAACCAGAATTGTGGGCCAAGAGACGTCCCCCACCGGCATGGATAGAGGTATGTGTTTATACATGTGTTGTGCGTCGACGCAAATTTCGAAACCGCAGACATTTATGGTCGAACACATTAACTAAGGGGGTGTTTATATGGAAGCGAGCTTTTGCCGCGCTGATTTCATCCTGTGTTTACATTATATATACACGTTTATATTAAATAGTATAATATGAAGGGTTATGCACACAGAATCGTTCACGGAGACCTTTTAAGATTGAAATCTGTGGAAAAATTCTTATTTACAACCAGAATGAACAGAGCAATACACTCAGCCCGCTAAAGCGATCCAGCTCGGGTAATTGCGTTTACACGTTTAGCCCGGCCACCCGAGATTTCGGGTCAGTCGACGTGGGATCTTACTTAGGCGAGTCAGTTTGGGTATCCGGGCTGGTTCGCCCATATAAAAACAGCCCGTTCACAGATTGCAAGCATGTCACGCGGAATGATTTTATCACAAATTGCAAGCATGTCACGCGGAATGATTTTTAGCCCGGCCACCCGAGATTTCGGGTCAGTCGAGGTGGGATCTTACTTAGGCGAGTCAGTTTGGGTATCCGGGCTGGTTCGCCCATATAAAAACAGCCCGCCTCACAGATTGCAAGCATGTCACGCGGAATGATTTTATCACAAATTGCAAGCATGTCATCAGAGGTCACAGATTACGTCCGAACACGCATTGCGCATTTATTTCATTATTTTGATAAGATGGCGGGTGTAAATAACAGTGGAATCTCGAAGCAGTCAAGTTTACAGACCATCATACCTTCTATAAAAGTGTTGCAGTAAGTATTTGATTTTTCAATTCATTTCCACAGTGGTACAGAGTCTTGCAATACTAGACTAGCTTTGACCAGCGCAGACTTCGGTGACGATTCTCGCTAAGGACTCGTGTGAAAACAGTCTGTATACGTTTTGCCAAAACTCGTGGGTTTCCGCCGGTCGTTCCGGTTTTCTCCCACATCGAAAGTTGCGAGCGTGGGTTAGGATAAACATAGTTATGAGAGTAGTACACATACTACAGTAGAACTCCCAAGGGAGGTGAAAAATTGTTAGAGTTAGCGGGGGTTCGAGTTTACGGGGTCGGTCTTGAGTTTCGTTTATTATTTTAATAATTAATAAGGTACCGTCGTTGTATTATTCATCACAACTGTGAGCGATTACGGTTCACTCTAAAGGCTACTGTCCATTGCAGCCGCTTTGCCCGCGCGGGCTAAGTGGACAGTATACTGATAACTTATGATGTGGTAAATGTAATACGCGGATGTGACAAAACTAACTTTTTTGCGCCCGGTGTGTCTGGACCTTAAGTCGAGAAAATCGAAGTTAAAGTTCATGTAAACCAAACAAAATCTCCATCGCATATAAAGATACTGTCGGCACGCTTATTATTTTTCTTTGTGTTTTCTCATGAATTATTGATGCTTTTTAAAATAAATATACATAATTTTATACGTTCTTTAAAATGAGTTAAACTAAATTTTTAGTTCCAATGACCAATGTCCTTTAAAGACCATGTAAAGTCCGTTCTGCTCATAGGTTCTCCGCAGGCTTACATTCCAGTAGTCGGGACCCGACAACACCGCGGAAAAACGTCTGCGCATGCGTCAACATTACTGAAATCTGTATTGCGAACGTGATGTCAAGTGTTCTGAAGGTTGTCAAAAACTCAAAATGGAAGCGACAAGGAGCGAATTCGATGTTTTGCCTTTTCTATGAAAATGGATGCGGAATAATGAATGTGACAACCTATAAACTAGAAATAATTATGGTCTACATGTGCAAGAAGTAGTATTATACAAGAAAATAAACCAAAGGTGACTGTCGATAAATTTATTGTATAAAACGTTCTTTACCTGAACCATACAAAGATATTTTTCGTAGGTTCATATTATCCACATTTTTGTCAATAACTTTTTTTGCGTAGCATGTATAATTTTGCGTTGACTATAGTTAAGGGTAATGATTTCCTCCACATTTTAATCGTGTGCAAATGCTTAACTATTCGATAGTTTTCTTAACTTTTGTGCTTAAGTTCGGTATTCGACAATTTTTCAAGAAATGCTCACACGCCTCCCGGTCTTAAACGGTAATTTTTAATTTAAATTCGGTTTCTTTTTAGATTTTAAATGTTAGAAAATTTTTTATTAATGTCTAAACTACCCGTCTAGTGTATTTTTTGTTTGTTTCAATGACCTTAAATAATTAAAAAGCCATGTTTTTGTTTACAATTTGGCATTTAAATTCCTCGCCATCTTTTTTTTGCCCCACGCATGCGCAGACGTTTTTCCGCGGTGTTGGACCCGACCGTTGGAATGTTATTAATATTTCGCATCTTTTGAACTTTCTTGAATCGAATCTCTTGCCTGTATTCATTTACAAGCATAGCGAACCAGAAGAGTGTTAAAAAACCAGTATAATACATATCTATAATCATATTTTACCACTGTAGCACTGAGTCAAAATGTAAGCAAAGCGTTTGTTCACATTACGAACTTTACATGATCTTTAAATAAAAAATCCTTATTTCATCATTACGCATGTCAATGTCGAAGTACAACATGGTCTCTTCATGTTTATAATGAATATCATCAGATAGTCATACTTAAATCTATGATGTATATCATCGTACACGTGTCCATTTAGGAGTTGGAAGGGGGTGGGGTGCGGGTCAGATTATCAATGTGTTTGTGTGATGATACACATCATACATAAAAGTGCACATTTATGATGATATACATCATAGATTTAAGTGTGACCATATGATAATATACATAAAAAATTATGAGACTGCGTTGAACCGTAACAACGAGACGGAGATTTTTTGTATATAGGATAAGATAGAGTGCAAAAAGTAACATTGTGCTTTTATCTTTCTCAAAGGCTAAAGCGAATAATTTGCTTTTTTATATCAATTTTTGTGGTCCAATTTCGGACTATCTGAAAAACATACCAAAATATAAGCCACGTGCGCGAGGGAAAATGTAATGTTTAAATGTATAGAGATGGCGATACCAGCTTTTTCATTCGATACGATATTTTCTCGATATTTGCCTTTTTTTCGATATCGATATTTTTTACCAACAACCACATTAAACAACAAAACAACTTAAATCGTTAACAATGGTAACAATATAAACATTCAATAATATATGTCAGTGATTGCAACAACACAACCAGAAACTCCGATCCTGCCCAGAAAATGAAAAACTACTTTTATAGTATTTGTGCCTATTTAGGCCTTTTGGTATCATTTTCATGGTGAAGCCGCTGACCAAAATAAAAGACATCGCAGGCTCAGAAGTATTGAAACACTCGATATTTCTTGCCAGTATCGATACTTTTCTTCGCAATTCTGGTATCGATAGTATCGAGTATTGGGTATCGGTATATCAGCCCATCCCTAGGAAAACTTAATGTTATTAAAATATTATCTGTAATTTCAAACACTCATTAATAATTCATGAGGAAATCACAAAGAAAAATCATAAGCGTGTCGTATCTTTACATGTGATAGAGATTTTCTTTGATTTCCATAAACAGCTTTGATTTTCTCGACTTACACAACGTGTCTTTTGTAAATTACTTCGCCAATGAACTTTTACTAGATCGATCGTTTTTGAAGCAATTTAAAACATTCGCAGTGCGTGTTTTATCAGACCTAAAGATACTCGGCTTTGCCTCGTTCTTTATATCTGATAAAACACTGCTGCTCATGTTCTTAAAGTTCATATGGAGTTTTTTCATAAACGTACTTAGAATGATTGCACTGTTTTAGTTTATTTTGTGTACTGGTTTAACAATTAGGTTGAAGAAGACTTAGGCTCTTGTCACGCTAGACAATACCCCACTAAATGCTGTATACCCATCTAAAATGGTGTGTCAAACGGTGCTACCTGTCATGCGCATACTCGTATATAGCAAAATCCAGTAGAATCGAGAATGAAAAAATGCACTATCTCGATTCAAGAAAATATTTATGGCATTTTTTTCTCTGTTTGTCATGGTCCACTGGTCCAGAACTGGACCGCAAAAATTAATGCAATAAAAGTCGCATTTTAAAGATAGGACGAGAGATATATGACGTTAATTATATATACATAGAACATACGTCTCGTTGTTACGGTTGCCTTCGGCACTGACATGCGCAATGTCAATGTCTTTAGTTTGTCTCATTTAAAGAACGTTTAAAATTACATGTTAAATCTTTTGCAGTTTTTTTTTAAATCAAGATTTACCATTAGAATATTTTGACTGAAAAAAACTTGATTCTACTGGATTTTGGTATATATATATATGAGCATGCGCATGATGGGTAGCACAGTTTGACACGAGGTTTGACACACCATTTAGAAGGTATTTGTCTTAGTTACACCAAGTTAGACCATTACACAAAATAAACCAAAATAGTGCAATCTTTCTAAGTATTTTTATGAACATAAAAAACTCCACACGTTACAGGCAATGCATCAATACTCTACTACGTTTTCCCTCGCGCGTATGGCATATGCTTATATATTTTGGTATATTTTTCTTACAGTCCAAAATTGGACCACAAAAATTGTTTAAAATATTGATTGTTCGCCGAAAATTTACATAATTAAAAAATACTGTTTGCACTTATTCTATATACATAGAATCTGCGTCTGGTTGTTACGGTTCTGCTTTGACAGTGACATGCGCAATGATGAAATAAGTTTTTTTTGTATAATTAAAGGCATTGAACTAAATAATTAGTTTGTCTCGTATTAAAGAACGTATAATATTACGTGCATGTTCAATGTTTGTGCAATTTTTTTATATCAGGATTAAAGACCATGTAAAGTCCGTTCTGCGCAGGCTTATACATTTAAATTTTGGGGACCCGACCGTTGGAATGTTATTAATATTTCGTATCATTTGAACATTCTTGAATCGAATCTCTAGTCTATATTCATTTACAAGCGTAACGAACCAGAAGAGTGTTAAAAATTTAGTATAATATATATCTAATCATATTTTACAACTGTAGCACTGAGTTCAAAATGTAAATCCAGTAAGCAGATTGTTTTCAGCTAAAATATTGTAATACTTAAAGACTATCTAAAGTTCGTAATGTAAACAAACGCTTTGAGTTGGAACTTTTGTCTCATTTTAAAGAACGTTTAAAGTTACATGTCAGTTAAATCTTTTGAATTAATCTCTTGAATTAATCTTAAAAATAGTACATGTTGCTACTCTGATTTATCTACAAATTTATATATATATATACCGGGTGTCCCAGAAAAAAGTACTCCGGTTTGATTTATAATAACTTCTAAACAAGTAAAGCTATCAAACAGAAATAACTTGCATTAAATAGAGGAAGGACTAACTTAAATTTTGATATATTACAGTTGTATATTACTTAAAAATTCACGGAGATGTTAATGTTCAAAATCGGGAACATATTTTGGGATGTGTCTAAAATTAGCGAAAATCGGCATATCAAATATTAACTCCGGCCTTTGTTTGCTTGATGACATATCAGGCTAACTTGTATTTCAGCGAATTGTCATTAGGGTTTGTAAGGGATATGGCATAGATTTAGACATCTTAACATGCATGTAAGTCTTAGCTCATTGTTTCCTGAAATATGAACGTTCGAAATTATGCAAGTATTTAATAGGTCTTTACAAACTTAAAGGTACTGTACATGAAAGACCCCGGCGTGCAAACCAGGCGCTTAAATTTTTCTTAAATAGCTTAATTTTTTTATGTTTTTCATGGGTTGAAAACAGAGTTGATTATTTCTCGGTTAGAGCAGGATGAATATTATTCTTTAATGAAGGAAATAATATTGCGTTTTGCAAATACACATCACAGTATCAACGCTACTATTTTGTTACGTTTTGTTCCAAAAATGTTGG